TTTAGTCTGGGATAGGGTGTACAATTCTTAGTTTTAGTCTGGGGTATGGTATGTAAAATCAAAATTTTAGGTCTGGGATAGGGTCAGGGTTTTGAGGTCCTGGCAGCACACTTCTACTCAAGTTGGGGTGGCAGTACCCCCCCCGGATAAAACCACTCAAAAAATACTACTTTTCTTTTAAAAAGTAATATAATAGATTCTATTTTTTTTATTTTACTATCAATTACCTAAAGCATTCTTAAGTAGCTGTATGTGCTCTGCCTTATTCATTTTGCTTAGACCCTTTATGTTTCTTGATGATAATTCTTGTTTTCATTCTTTGACAGTCAATTTGTCAGGGTACGTTAATATCATTAATATCTGACACACTCAATTGGGTTTTAGAAGCACTAGCTTCACAAACAGTTTCTGGATAACTCTGATCATGATTCTTCTCCTTTTCTGTCTAGTTGTTCTTATAATAATCCGATTCCCAATAATTACTTTTGTGCTTAGAATAGGATCTTTTGTCCCTTTCCCTATCCCTAAGGTGCCTTTGCTTATGTTCTTGTTGCAATATATCTGCAACAGCATTCCACTTGTTGGATTTTCTGTGGATTACAGATCTTGCCACGTCATTTGTGCATATAATTAGGAGTTGCCCTTTTACTTTCATACCCATCAAGCTTACCAGAAAGTAAACAGAATTCATCTATCCACTCACCAGCTTGAGGTCCAAAAGTAGATGGTACTGTGTTTGGTTCCCAGTTGATAATCAAGTTGTATAAACTATTGAAGTTCAACTATAACTTACTTACTGCAGAACTACTGATCAACATTCCGTTTTTCCCAAACATCAAAGGTGATGCCAAGTGACCGTATTGCAGAAATACGATTTTTTAAATGGATGCCTTTTTCCTCCACCTTTTTTGTCCCAGTCATCCTCCCTGTCCCAATCTATTACTTCATTAACAATGTTATTAGTAAGTACATCACTWATGCGTAGCATTAAATGTAGTTCATCAAAATTACATTCAAGATCAATACTGATTAGTGATTTATTTTCAGAGCAAAAAATATCTTTAGACTTAGTACATGACTCAACAAACTCTTTGAGTGTTCTAGCCATATGGAGGTTTATTGTAGTAATTAAAATCATTAGTGGTTTTCCATCTTTCATCTWTATGCACCTTGCACCATGCACAGGCATAATGTGAAGTAGCCCCTTTTAAACCAATCATTAGTAGCAGAAATTTGTAATCACCACCCAGGAAAAACTCTAAGTTAATTGTTTTATCATTAATTGTTAATTTACCAGAAGCAATGAAGCTGTAAATCTCCTTAAAAACAGAGCCAAAGAAATTTGTTAAGCCCCCCTCTTTTTAACCCCCCTCTCTTTTTAGCCCCCCCTCCCCCTTTCACAACTAAAGAATCACGTGTACTGATTCAAGGTGATTTATTAAAGTCTTGGTTGTTCAGAACTTTTCTTTTTAGCTTGCTTTGTTAATGTTACTGTTTTTTAGTTTTGTTATTCACAATAATCGTAAATTATACTTGAGAGACTAACACAGGTGAATCAAATA